CCGCAGCCTGTGTCAGAGTGCTTCAGAGTCCAGCTGCGTGCTGACCTAGACCCCAACAGGCGGGGACAGCAGCCCGAGTGGCCCGCCGCCGCCCACGTGTCACACCTGGCTTGTGTTCCCAGCTCCTCACTTTTATTTTCGACATTTGGGGGAGTGAATGAACAAATGGGAACTTTTACTCTGTCTTTCAAAAGAATGTTTTTAGGACACACTATTTCCATGCGGTAGAGGGAAAAGGGTGTGTGTGTTCCTTTTCAAAGAGGAAATGAACTGTGAGCATTAATAGCTAAACAATAAGCTGTGCTTTTTTTTCGCATGTCATGTCTACAAAACTTTAATGTGACAGGTAGAGAGACTTACCGTGTGACGTGAGGGTGGCAAGAGAGGCTTTTCTTCCTGCTGGTTCTCTCCCCACGTGCCTGCAGCAGCTGGGAGTCAGGCCCGAGCCAAGAGCCAGGAGCTCATTCCAGGTGTCCCAAATGCCCGATGCTTCCAGGCTGTGCTGCCGCAGGAAGCCAGAAGCAGAAGTGCAGGCAGGACTGGAACCAGGCACTGTGATGCAGAGCGTGCAGCCAGGCCGTTTCTGAACTGAATACCTGCCTCTCTGCCTCTCTGCGCAAGTTCTGAATGAACATAGAAACACGAGCAGGTAAATCTGGATCCACAGCCTTTTTAATTGACGATAAAGTTTTGGAGAGTGAGCACGGAGACCGGGGGAAGAGAGAAGGCAAAGACCAGATTCTAGAATGTTCTGCGTGTCTAGGTACTTGGTACCAACAGTGGGTAGTCACCACACAGGTTTTGAAAGAAAAGAGATATGGTGAGATTTTGCATTCTAGGAAAAAGAAAAAAAAATCCCTACTGGAGCTGTGTAAATAACGAGCTGGAAAGCTGTGATGGTGGAGAGCTGCAATTTAATCAGGAGGTGATGGTCCCGGTGAGGCCCGAACAAGGTTAAATGAAACGAGCGAAGGTGGAGTTAGAGGGAAAAGACAGAACTGTAGGACCGGTCGCCCAGATTGGCGGGCCCCTTGGTCCATGATACCGTACCACAAGGAGAGGGTGGCAGGGCGGTCGGCCAGGATAGTGATGATGGGACGATGGGACGCAGCAAAGGTTGGGGGCAGGGGCAGCTGGTGAGAGCGCAGGAAGCTACAGGTGTCGCTAATCCGAAAGAAGGGCCGGGCGTGCTGCAGAGGCTGGAGGAGCTTTGGAAACTTCAGGGGAATTGCAAAGGTTAGGGGGGGAGGCCGAGATCTGGAAGGCTCATCAAAGATTTCTCCAGGATTAAAAATGCTTTTACCTTTATTGCTTGAAAATACTCGGGTCACACAGCTGCTGAGTGTGTGTAACGCATAGCCTGCCATTTTATACCCTTGACACAGGTGGCGCTGGCGCCTGGCAGCAGCCTGGAGTGGGCGACAGCACATGCTTGGCCAGGGGCGCGGATTCGGTGGCCTGGCTGGGTCTCCCCTGGGACGGGGTCAGGCCGAGAACCTGTGGCCTCAGAGGGCACAGGTGCAGTCACCCCACCTCCGACCCCCGTGGAGTCTTGCAGCCCAGGTCTTTCCTGACTCAGGTAAGGGGCGGGCATGGAGGGTGCAGACCCTCTCCGCACTCTGGCCAGTCCTCCAAAAAGAGGGAAGAGGGCTGGTTGTTCAAGGACCACAGCCATCCTGGACCAAGCTGTGAGAGAGACTGACCCAACAGGGCGCTCAGGGTCGGGTGGGAGCAGCTGAGGGTGCGCCAGGCGGCTTGTGGGGCGTGGGTGCCCGCGTGAGGCGGGCCGCGTGGGCCATGGCCCTGCGCTTGGCACCCAGTGCCGCGGAATGGAGGGCAGAACACGAGAGAGTCAGGCGGCCGAGGCCCGAGGCCTGACGGCTTGCTCTCTCTGCGCCCTCCCGGCGTGGAGGGCCCCCTCTGGGTGCTTGGAAGGGTGGCAGGGTTGAGGTGACTCGGGGCGGGCAGGGCAGGAGTCCTTTCCCTGGACAGAGCAGAGGATGCCAGCAGCTGCTGGCGTCAGCTCAGAGGGCCGTCGGAGAACGCATAGCTGAAGGAGGTGAGACAGGATGACGGGTCCTGGGCAGGCTCCTCCAGCTAAGCAGAGGAATAATCCAATGCACAAAGTAGCCTTTTGGCAGGACAGGGTGCGCTGGAGTCCTTCCTTCCCGAGCAGCTAGGAAATTACCTGAAAGCTGCGGCCGTTTGCTTCAGAGGGTGATGGGGGAGCATTCAGCCACATCGTAATTCGAAGCCCTAAGAGGTGGAGTGGCCGGTTGTGGGTGCTGGAGGGGCGGAGTGCGCAGAGCCTGTGGCAGGGTTCTTGAGGGGAGAGGCAGCTGTGTGCCTGGCTAAGGGCTGGTTGAGCCCTCTCACCCGCCCGCTCTTACGAGAGCCGCAGAGAGCCCTTCAGCATGCATGGGTTAAGTCTGGTGGAGTGAGGCATGCTTTTTGTCCATTTCTTCTATTTGTCCCACAAAGCAGTGGGTTGCTCACAGAATCCTGGGTTCAGGGACACACATGGTGGGAGCTGGGGGAGCTGAGCTCTGGACCCCTGCCCCCAGCAGAGGGGTCACTGTGGCTTCATTTGAATGCCTCCCCTGAGCCTTGGCTTCTTGGAGATGGAAAAGCCCTTTGAGGGCGTTCAGCCGTGTCCGGGAGCTGCGCTGCCTGGCCTCGTGACCGCCCTGGTGGCAGGGAGCTTGTCAGTGCCTGACCTGACCGGTCCGCAGCTCTGTCGGACTGGCCCAACCGTTGGGAACTGGCTGCTGTTGCCCCCACATCTGCTCCTCTGCCGTTTGCATGGTTGGCCCGTGTAGAATGAAACGTCTCATGCCGCTTCCACAAACATTTGAGAACTGCTAACACATTTCCTTCCACCCACCCACAAGGCTGCTTTTCTTGCAGTTAAGCACGCCCAGCTCTTTCAAACCGGGAGGCCGTGAGCGGTAGTGGAAAGGCCAGCGCCGAGCCAGGCAGCCCTGCCTGCGCTCCTTCCAAACACGCTCATGTTGGGTGCTTGGAGCGGCTCTTCCCTGAAATGTGTGAATGAAGATACTCCTGTGCCCGAGCTGGGAGGAAGTGGATGAAGCTCCATGTTCATGAGCTTAAAATATGAGAGCTGTTACACTCCCAGGGACCTACTGGAGACGTATTTTAGTTGATCTGTCTTCATCGATGCTGTTTGTCTCTGCAGAACGGAAGAAAGAGCTTTCTGTGAAGTCTGTCTGGGAGGGAGTGGGTGCTTGGCTTATTGGGGCAGGATTCCTGTCCCACAGACTCCATGACTTTGTCAACCCAACCCTCCCCCGCCCCATCGTTTTAACTCGTGCCGCTGTTCAGTCGACTTTGCCTCATCCCCAATAGCTCCGAAGGTGATTAAACCCTTGGCTGCAAACAGTGGCAGCCGCGGTTGTGTCCTGTGGTCTCCATACAGGCCTGTCAAGTCAGTGTTGGGAGCAATCTGTGACTGAGGCCCCTGCCCCGGTGCTCTGCTGCCAGAGGACTCTCCTGGGGGACCTATGGGGAGTTCCTGCTGAGTTAGGGGGCAGTGAGCACCTCTGTCCCCTCCCTGTGGCGCCCACTTGTTGCCTGTGGCACACGGGGTCCCCACCGGATCCCAGAGCCTCCAGCCTGCCCGGGGTGACAGTGAGGGACTCAGCAGGACTCAAGGCTCCGCTGACAACACAGATGAAAAAGATGCAAATGCCAGGCCCTTGACAGTGGTTTGTCCCTAACAACTACCAGAAATGAAGACAAGCCTTTCCTCTGTAGAAGAGCCAATTTAAATTGGGCTAATTGGTTGTGGTTGGTTTTAAACAGGTAATTCTGGAGTAGTAAAGAGACTAATTTAAAATTCGTGAAGTAACCATGAAGGCCTTAAAGGGTTTCCATCTTCTTGTGGCTTCTCCTTTTGGGGGGCAGATGCCACATTCTTGAGGGCGCACTCCGCCTCCCCCTCGCTGCTGGCTCCCGCCTGCTGGGCCAGGACACCGCGTGGTTGCGCGCCTGTGCGCGTGGCAGGCGCCGTGGCCGCTGCCGGGCTGCGGTGCCCTTTGTCTGCCTGCGGTAAATGCCATCGCGCACACAAGCCAGCCCTGCCTCTCGCTTCCTCCCCAGGGCACCCTCCCAGGGGTCTGCTTACTGCTGCTGTGGCGGGGTCTGGGGATAGTGAAGGTGACCCGTGCGTGGGCTCTGCCTCGGAGGGTCTGCCGGTCAGGCAGAAAGGGGCCGGATGTTGGTAGGAAGTTAAAGGGACACGGAAAACAAGTTCCCCTCCAGGTGGCCAACGCCTCGGTCGGGGGGTCGGGGCTGCTTCACACCCGCTCTTGGTGCTCCATCAGAGGTGGAAAACATCCGTTCTGACCCTCCCGAAGGAAGCCCAGTTAAGGTGCAGCCGCTCTGGCGCCAACACACGTCGCAGCGCCGGGCTCTTAGGCGGAGGCAGAGCTCGGCCAGCCCCGCGTTCCAGCCCCTCCGGCCTGCGGGAGCCTTTGCGGCCGCGGTGGCAGCACCCCTGCTGGCGTGCCGACCCGCAGCCCTGCAGCTGACAGCTGAACACAGCGGTACTCTGAGATGCGGAGTCCAAAACCCTCTCCCGCTCCTCCGTGCCTCCGTGCCCTCTCGTCCTCCCTGAAGGGCAGCCGTCTCTCCAACCCGCTGTCTCCCGGGAGCCTGGGGTGCCCTCGCTCGCCCTGGGGGTTCGGCCGACGTAGGGGTGTCAGGCGCTCGGGGACTGGGGCGAGGTCGGACACCCCAGCGGCCGCTGTGGGGTGCGGGGCTCTGCTCGCTGGGCGCCCGGCTCCCGGCTGCCCTCTGCAGGAGCGGCGCGGGCAGCTTGCCGCAGCGCGGCCGCGGGGAGGGCTCTGCGGCGGGCACGGCGGGCGGGGCGCTGCGGCGCGGGGCGGGCCGGGGCGGGGCGCGGGCGAGCTCTAAAAGTCGGAGCCCGGCGGCCGCGGCACCTCTCGGCGCCGCGCTCGCCCTGCGGCCCTGGCTGGCTGGCACGTGCCGCGACCTGCCCGAGTGCCGCTTGCCGCCGGCCGGTGTCGGCTGTGCCCCCGCTGCCCTGCCCTGCCCGGCGTCCGCGTCCGCGGCGCCCCCCGTGCACCGCCACGCTGCGGCGTGCGGCATGGGATAACGCGGCCATGGTGCGCCGGGATCGCCTCCGCAGGTGGGTGTGCGCGGCCGGGCAGGGGGTGTGGCCGGCGGGACTGGGCTGCCCTTCGGGGGTCCGCGGCACTTAGCATCCCGGCACCCCGAATTGCCCTTTGAGAACGGGTCCTTGCTGCGCTGTGACGGAGGGCTTGCAGACGCCAAAGGGGCCGTCGTGTGACCCAGGGTGGTGGGTTGTTGTTGTTTTCTTTTACTTCACCATTGTGGTGATGCAGCTTCTAGTCCTCAGAATTCCCTCGGCGCGAGTTCAGGATTCTAAAATCCCTGGTGTTGCCGCAGCGCGAGCCAAGATTGGCATTCGCCACAGTTTCCGCGGCATGGCTCGTGATTCTCGGCCCGCGGTACTGCCATTGTGTGATCAGCGACCCTGGCACGCCGGGGATCGCCCGTGTACGGATCCTGACACCCCGGGGATCGCGTGCGTAAAATCGGGGATCCTGACGTGCGGGGTTCACCCGTGTGCGGATCCTGACACCCCGGGGGTCGTGTGCGTAAAATCAGGGATCCTGACGTGCTGGGAGCACGTGCGTGAAATTTGGGATCCCAACACGCCGGGGATCGCCCGCGTGTGGAGTCTGACACCCCGGGATCGCGTGCGTAAAATCAGGGATCCTGATACGCCGCGGATCGCCTGTGTGCAATTAGGAATCCCAACACGCCAGGGATCTCCTGCGTGCGGAGTCTAACACCGATCGCGTGGGTAAAATCAGGGATCCTGACACTCCGAGGAGCGCCCGGGTGCGACTCGGGCTCCTCACACCCTGGAAATCGCCACTGCACCATGGGGCTTTGAGACCGCGTTTTAGGGTTGCCGAAGCTGGCATCTCGGGGGCGCGCGCTCTGGCAGAGCGGGGGTGCAGCCTGGCGCCCGCATTCCCGCGGTTTCTATGGCTTGGCGACCTCCCAGAAGGCTGCCATCGTGTTGGGTGGGCTCGCTTCCTGGACTGGGTCTCCCGCGATGCCAGCAGGTGGGCAGGGTAGGCATCCCGGGAGAGTGTGCTGTGGACTAGAAGGTGAAGGAATCAGGGCTCAGAAAGGCTGATTAATTTCCATAAAGTTTGTGACTGGAAATTGTCAGATTGTCAGGTTGCTTCTTAACTGGAAATTCCGATCTGGCTGGGGCGTTTTTTCCTGAGATAAGACAAAATGAGGGGCTGGCTGTTTGCTTTGTTGGATTAAAGAAAAAAAAAACCTGAGGTTTGGAGGGCGGGGTGTCTAGCAGCAGAGTGTAGGGGCGCCTTGAGCTGACCTCCGTCACCTGCGAGGGTGCCCCCTGCCCCGCATCCCTCCCTGGCCCTGCTGAGTCATCGCAGCAGATCCGCTGGACCCTGAGTGAAAGCGAAGGAAGAAAGGCGGGGTTGGGGGAGTGAAGCCAGGGTGCCTGGCCTGAGCCCGGCGGAGGGCGGCCGCAGGTCACAGACTCCACTGAGACCGAATGCTCTCTATCATTTGGCCTTTCACGGAGGCATTGGAATGTAGCCTGCTGCTGATGGGGTAAAAACTGCAAAATAATGATGTTCTGGCATTTTGTAGAATCCTGTGAAAGGTGCCACTAAATGATTGTGTCTGTTTTAGGGACAGGTTTTTGGGAAGGAAAAACTGACAGCCCCCTGAGGATGCCTAAACCTCAGACGGGGAGATGAGAATGCTTGAAAGGCCAGTGAAGCCACAGGATTTTTTATTTTTAGAGCTGAAACAAAGCATTTTGTGAGTTGGATTAGTGAGTAGTGGCAAGGCCAGACCCCAGGTAAACCGGGTGGCAGGGTAGTTAACGGCCACAGAGCCCTTCCCGGAAGACCTCTGGGAACAAGTTCCTTCTTTGACTATCTTCTCCACAGTTTTGGTTTTGGAAAGAGTTATTTCTGTTTTGGTTGTTTTACTTCCCTTCTACATGGTGTCCATTAGAAGTCACAGCCTAGACACGGAGCCTGTGGCCCACCCCTCTTTAGCCCGGGTCGGTGTGGTTGGAGTGAGGAGCCTTCCCTGGTCAGGATGGCATGGAGGAAGGGCTCACCCCTCCTGCTGGGACTGAGCTCTGCCATCTCGGGAAGACTCCTGGCAATGACTGGGTCTAAGAAAAGCAGAAATACAATCTGCCAGCCTGACTTCTCAAGAGATTAGATATTCGGGGTCACCACAAAGCTGCTTACACCGGAGCGTGCCGTGCAGCCCTCCGTGGCCTGTTCTTACTGGTCACAACCCCGGTTTGGTAGTGCGGCAATGGCTTCCCACAGCCCAGGGAGCTGAGGGCAGCTCTGCAAATGTGAGAGTTTGAAAAGCAAAAAGGCAGCAGGACATGTGTATTTTTGCTGGTGGGGGCTGGTGAGTCAGTGGTGTGGCGTTTAGAGTAGATATGCAGGCAGCCCCCCAGCCCTTGGTGAGAGCCAGCGAGAAGGTGTACAGTACTCGAGTAGTCCTCTTTATGTTTCATGGAAACCTCAACAGGTGTCAGGAAGAGCACGGGGGGAGGGGGGGCTGAGGGACATGAGTGGAGAGCCAGATCTTGGAATAATATGCTTGTCCTACAGTTAGAATGGTAGGCAAAGATGGAGCTAGCCGCAGTGGGCAGAGGGGCCATCGCACTGTGGTCACCCCATGACACAGGCATGGGTGGCACAGAGTGCACCGTGTCACCCGCCTGCTTTCCCACAGAATGCGGGAGTGGTGGGTCCAGGTGGGCCTGCTGGCCGTGCCCCTGCTGGCCGCGTACCTGCACATCCCGCCCCCCCAGCTGTCCCCTGCTCTCCACTCCTGGAAGACTTCCGGCAAGTTCTTTACCTACAAAGGACTGCGCATCTTCTACCAAGGTAAGACGCAGCCTGCTGGACACCCGTGTACGCCCGTCTGAGGGCCGGCCCGGTGCCAGCACCGTGTGCCCAGCAGGCTATTGGCCGTGCCACTGCAGACAGCTGTCTCTGCTGAGCATGTGGGATGGCTGGCAGTCGCTGGCTGGCGGGTCACAAGGGGCCCACCTGTTTACTCTGTGTTTAATAAAAGCTTTCTATTTCATTTTTATTGGAAAGTCAGATATGCAGAGAGGAGGAGATGCGGGAAGATCTTCATTCTTGGGCTGCTTTATGTTGATACTAGTTTTCTCTGAACACCCCTAGTGTCAGGTGACATGTCAGCTACCATTGCTTCTCCCTCCTCAACCCTGATTTAATGTTTATGAGTGCTATATATGTAACTAAGTGTGATTCATATCTTACCCTGTTAGGTAAGTTAATTTGTTAAGTATAATTATTCTGATGGCTACTGATTAAGTATGATTCTATGCGCTGGGCACCGAGTTGCCCTTCAGCCCGCACTGCGTGGCTTTCTCGGCACAGCGGCGCCTGGCGACAGGTGAAGAAACAGCAGCCTGCCTGAGAATTCTTCTGGGCGGGAGTCAAGAGCAATAACGAAAAATGTTTGTCATAAACCGTTTTTCATTATTGCTCCTGACCCCCTCTCACCTGCTGCGGCCGGTCGGGTAGGTATGGGTGGGTTTATGTCGGTTGTGGCTTGGCTTTCAGTGGTAACAATTAATGTTGAAGGGTGAGCTTCATCTATGTGGTTTATTTGTTCCTGAAGTTTGAAAACCAGCTTACATGTATAAATGGAATTGTGCTTAAGAATAATGTTTGTGGGCTAAAGCATGCAAAATTCTTAATTGTAGATAAAATTGTTTTTGAAAGGCCTACAATAATTTGCTGCATGTGCAATATATGAACATGTAAGTTTGAATCCAATACTATAAGCAAAGCAGAGCCCCATGTTTAATGATTTCATATTGTCATGCATTTTAAAAAGTTCCTGTCTGTGTTACTTAACCCTTTTTTTGTGGTTGATAGCATCTTACTGTTTGGGTTATGCATCTGTCAGGGTCTCCCTCTCTAAAACCAGAAGTGGGGACAGTCAGGATAAGCTAAGGTGCTGACCAGCAAGAGCTGCTGCTTACACAAGCTTCTAGAAGTCTGTCGAGTCCAGGCATTTTGTGGTTTATGGGTTGTGACTTTCAAACTGTGAAAGTTTGCCTTTTGCTGTGAACAGTAATTTACATACTAGTTAATATAGGGAAATGGGGAGATGCTTTACAAAGACCTTGTGAAAGTAAACTGCCTTCAAGTATTTCCACCTCAAGTATGCTGTCTACCATTTTAAATGTACAGATAAAATGGGGAAAGTGCCAGTTTCAGAGCTAATTAGGCTTTCATTTTCAAAAGACACGTATCATTTTAGCATCACTGATTTAGCCTTCTCGTCACTTGGGTCCTCGCGCTGTTTATGCCTTGCGGGCTGGCTGTGTGCGGGCTGGCTGTGTGCGGGCTGAGCCTCACTGCTCTTTCTCCATCTTTGCAGACTCGGTGGGCGTCGTGGGAAGTCCGGAGATAGTGGTGCTTCTGCATGGCTTTCCAACATCCAGCTATGACTGGTATAAGGTAACATTAAGCACTGGGTCCTGCTAAAAATCCCAAATCAAGGTTTTACTGTCATCACCAGAAGGCCTATGCACACTTGAAGCGCTCAGTGAGCACAGCATTGTACATTGCAGAACTGCGAGGGCGGCACAGCTGCAGGGCCTCGCGGGGAGATGAGTCACTAGGGGCAAAGCCTTCCCAGGGGACCGTCAGCCGGGTCTGCCGTACCTTCACAAGGGTCTTCTGATTGCCAAGAAGCCGTGGTAGGGGCCAGGCTTCCGTGCTGCTGTCGTCAGTGGAAGGGAGACAGGTGCCAGAAGCTCCAGTGCAACTGTCCCTTGTCCTGTAGATCTGGGAGGGTCTGCCCCTGAGGCTGAATGGGGTGACTGCCCTGCACTTCCTTTATCCTGTAGATCTGGGAGGGTCTAACCCTGAGGTTCCACCGTGTGATTGCCCTGGACTTCCTTGGCTTTGGCTTCAGTGACAAACCGGTGAGCTGAAGCTCTGTGTGTGGTTTCAGGGGGGGGCGGGGAGGAAGTGTGTGACTGTATCCCGTGTGTGACTGTATCCCGTGTGTGACTGTATCCCGTGTGTGACTGTATCCCGTGTGTGACTGTATCCTGCCCGGCTTTTCCTCCGTAGAGACCGCATCACTATTCCATATTTGAGCAAGCCAGCATCGTGGAGGCGCTTTTGCGGCACCTGGGGCTGCAGAACCATCGGCTCAACCTGCTGTCTCATGACTACGGCGACATCGTGGCCCAGGAGCTGCTCTATAGGTCAGTGAGGCTGCAGCCCCTTGTCTGCCCTCAGGGATCATCCTGAAGATGCCAGGTGCTGGAGGGCACTTGGAAAAGGTCATGGCAGTGAGAACTGGAGCATAAGTTTATTTTGACACAATATTGCTTTGAAATCCATAGGACCTTTTTTTTTAACTTCATGAGCTTTCTGAAGATCTTTCCCTCTTGGGAATTTGTCTTCAGTCCAACATGGTGTCTGTCATTTTCCCTCTGTTCTAGGTACAAGCAGAATCGATCCGGTCGGCTTACCATAAAGAGTCTCTGTCTGTCCAACGGAGGTAACTGCCCGGCGGGAGGCTGGCGGGGTGCAGCCCTGAGGGCCGTGGGACACCTAGGGGTTATCTGCTTACACTCCCCAGACTAGGGGACCATTATCTTTGGGGCATCAGCAGCTGCTTTGGTGATCTGCTGAGATTGATGGACCCTTTCTCAGAATAATACCTTATTACATTTTAAAAAAAATTTGTTTTTGTTGGAAAAGCAGATTTCCAGAGAGGAGACAAACTTGTCCCACCCGCTGGTCACTCTTGATGGCTGCAACAGCCAGAGTTGAGCCGATCCAAAGCCAGGATGGGATAATGGAGCAACCAGGATGTTAATGCACGCCCATATGGGATCCTGGTGCTTGAAGGGGAGGACTAGCCAACTGAACCAGCATACCCGTGCCCCGCACCCCACACTGCTGGAAGGTGACTTCACTAGCCCAGGAGCAGTTGTCTACAGTGAAATGTGCCTCTCAGCAGAGGAGAAAGCAGAGTCCAGTGTGGGCCAGGGTTGACCACAGTCCTGACCTTGAGGCGTCCAAGGGATGCAGCAGAAAGCACAGGAGGCAATTGTGATGCAACAAGGCATCGGGACTCAGTTTCTAAGCTCTTCACGGGTGGTCAGATTCGTTAGAAATAGTAACCCCAGATCAGACCCTTTACAAGTACTTCCTTTGCTTTGTATCCTATTGAGCCCAGTTTATATACCCATGAAAACCATGAATTCCTTATGAGCAGATTAAGAAAAATATTGGTCTGTCCCTTTATCAGTCATGCATAGGGCTTTTCTCCCATGGACTCGGAAGACAGAGCCAGAAAAGGAAAAGCCTCCGGTATTCTGAAAAATGGAAGCAATGCTACAGGGTCAGGGCACGGGATCAGCATTATAAGACCCTGGAAGTTCCTTCTGCCCTGGTCCTCTTATTTTCAAATGAAAATAGGGGCCAGTGTTGTGGCACATGGACTACAGCACAGGTGGCAAGCTGGCATTCCACATGGGTACCAATTTAGTTCTAGCTCCTTGCTCCCTGCTAATGGCCTGGGAGAGCAGGGGAAGATGGCCCAATTGCTTCGGAGCTGCCCCTTGGGGGAGACCTGGATGAAGTGCTGAGCTCCAGGCTTAGCCCGGCCCAGCTCCCACTGCTGAGGCTGTTCATGAAGACTGCCTTCTCTGTGACTCTTCCAAATAAAATCAGTCTCAAAAAGGAAATTGGGAAAATAATCCCAGTGTGCTATAACTGAAGCAGCTAAAACCAGAATTCCTTGGAGAATTAGTCAACGGCAGTCTCGTGTCCCTTTATGACAGGGATGTGACTGCGTATCCTTACACAAACTAGGACGGCCCCACGCCTGGGGGTGTCACTCCAGGCAGCCCGCTGTGCGGCACCTGACTACAAGGCTTTTACTTCTAGTGTGTTGACAGTCTGGCGCTCACTGCAGGTCTGGCTAAGGGCTGAGATGCTCCTTTTCTCCTACAGGTATATTTCCTGAGACGCACCGTCCTCTCCTGCTACAAAAGGTTAGCTATTTCACCGTTAAGATTTGTGTGAAGAAAAATACTGCTGGCCTGTTATAGGTTACAACTAAACTTCTCATTAAACTACATTAATGCAGTTCGCTTTCCCCTAGTTGGGCAAATCAAGAGACGGGCTCCCATACAAAACCTGCAGCTACTTCTGAGAAGATGAACAAATATTCGTGGAAATACAGCTCTGAAAAAAAATTGCTATTTTATATCTGGATAAATTAGGATTGTATTAGGACTGAAAATGGAATTTTGCAAAATGTAGAAACTTAAAGGGAATTAAAAATAGGACTTCTCTTCCTTAAGCGAAGACTGTGGGTAGGAAAAACAAAAATAATCAAAAGTAGCAAGCATTTGGGGAGCCCTTGTTCTCAGCTGTGCTGAGTCGCTGGTCGCTGTGGAGCACTGCATTTCACGACCCCCCTTCTCCTGCAGCTACTCAAAGATGGAGGAGTCTTGTCGCCCATCCTCACGCGACTCATGAACTTCTTCGTGTTCTCTCGAGGGTAAGCCATCGGCGCACCTCGACTGTGCTTAGGAACTCTGGGGTGGAAAGTTTCTGCCATTTTAATCCTGGGCCAGGTCCTGTGGTGCGCTGTTTTAAAGCCAAGGTGTAGACCACAGGCAGGAACTCTTAAACCACAGAAGGGCCAAAGCGCACGGCCTTAGAGCGCCCGGTCGCATTTACCATTGGGAATCTTCTCACAGTCCCTTCCCGTATTCTGGACTCTTTCAGCCTCACCCCGGTCTTTGGGCCCTACACGAGACCCTCTGAGAGTGAGCTGTGGGACATGTGGGCAGGGGTCCGTAACAACGACGGGAACCTGGTGATCGACAGGTGAGAGGCCCTTGCCCTGGCTTTCAGAGGGGCAGAATGCAGGAGAGCCAGCTGTGCTCCTATCACAAGGTCACTCAGGGCTGGCCTTCCCAAGAAGACAAAGGCAACAGAGTGGGCCCAGAGGCTAAGCCACTTGGCGCAAGGAATTTGGATAAGCAGTTGCAAATTCTAATGCTAATTCAGGCTTGTTAGTGGCAACTCCTTTGGATTTCTGGTAACACTAAATGCTTCAGCGTTGACCCTCGTTTAGCGAGAGCCAGGTGCTCCCCAGTGCGGGGCTGCTCCTCCTGCAGGCGCTCCCCAGTGCGGGGCTGCTCCTCCCACAGGGTCATTACTATGTGGTGGTTAACTCCAGGGGATGACAGAATGGGTAAGGAAGTGAGCCGCTGCTGGGAATGCCCGGTGGCACACGTACACACATGTCCCTGCGTCCGTGCCAGTCTGGGTGCCTGTGTGCCCCCTCTGACTCTCATGCCCCACAGTCTCTTACAGTACATCAACCAGAGGAAGAAGTTCAGAAGGCGCTGGGTAGGAGCGCTTGCTTCCGTCTCCATTCCCAGTGAGTACTCTTCTGTTCTCTAAATGGGACAACTGCAGGACCGTGGGGTTCAGCCCGTGTTACCTCCCACTAGGGCTGCCAGATTTAGCAAGCACGATTACCAGTAAATGACAAAAACCTTTTTTGAGTATGTCTGTACTGTGCAATGTTTGGGACATCCCTACACCTTCTGTCCCAAATAATTTTGTCTGAAATTGAAATTTTACCAGGACACCTGTATTGTGCCGCCCCTCTGCCCCTCACATCGGGTGCACCGGTGAGGGCTGTGGACAGAGCGTGTGCAGAGCCTGTAGCCTTCCTGGGGGCGGTGGGGGTGCCTGGTCTCTGACGCGGCTCGGCAGTGACCGCCGTGACAGATGCTGCTGCCGTTACTGGTGAACAGGCCCAGGTGGCTTGTGGTCCTCTGGTTCTTTATCTTACAGATCTGACAGAATGATCAGTCTAGGCTCTCAGACACAGCTCAGGATTTTCCGTGCTGATTTTCAGTGAGAAGGGCTAGTTACGGCTGACGAGACTTCAAGAACGACAGGATCCTGGATTTCCGGGAAGGAAAATGTTGAAAGTGGGGGCTCATTTCTTTTAGGTCAGGGCATAAGAGCTGGAGGAGGGACCAAGTGTGAAAGGAACTACCAGGCTTGTTCCCAGCGCTCCTTTATATGCTACTTAAGGAAAGAAGTTGGCTTTCCTATCCTAAAATATGCTTTTATTTACAGAAGAAGCCCCTAACTATTTTAGGGTGGGAGTAGAACAGATTGTGGTGTTTCACTAACTCACTGCTCTCTCTCCTAGTTCACTTCATCTACGGGCCACTGGACCCCATCCATCCCTACCCAGAGTTCCTGGAGCTGTACAGGTGAGTCTGAGGCTTCCGTCTCGTTATTCATTCTGACCTGTTGAGAGCTGCTGGCTCGAGCCACTGGTCTGACAGCATTGGCTTTTCATCCAGGAAACATAATAACAAGGTGAATCGAGGAGTCTATTCTCACATAGACATAAAGGTGAAGAAATTCAGTTACAAATTATCTTGATTTATACAGTCTGTTTTCACTGGCATGGCTACTACATAATCCTTGGTGTACAGGTAAGAAAGCTATCATGTGAATCAAAGAAAGTGGATGTATCTTAAAGTCTTAGTCTGACCTAAGCGCTTTGTAGGGAGAGCTGGAGATGGGAACTCACTGTGGAAAGGTGCCTTCTCACTGGCTGTTATTCTGTGTAGGTACTTACGCAGAAGGTGTTGCAATGTGAAATCTTGCCTATGTCACCAAAGAATCTTCCATACCTTCACATGGCCGAGTGGACACAACCCAGCTGTAAACTGCTTACTTACAATTTTAATCAAAAACACCCTCTCTAACCTCTCCTGGAATTAAGGAAGGGCCTTTGTCACCTTTGCTTGTGCAGTGAGTCGCTGAGGGACGTGCTTCTCTAGGGAGCGGAAGGCATCCTGCTTTGGCACCTGTTGCAAGAGCGTATCTTCAACTTGCTCTTGCTTCTTTTAAGTGTGGTTTCTCTGCAAGCGCATCTTTCCTGGGGCTTTCCACTGCCTTGCATCCCTTCCTCTCCCTCCAGCCTGAAGCTCACCTCCATGCTGTTCTCTTCCACTAGGAAAACGCTGCCGAGGTCCACAGTGTCGATTCTGGATGACCACATTAGCCACTACCCACAGCTAGAGGATCCCATGGGCTTCTTGAATGCGTACATGGGCTTCATCAACTCCTTCTGAGCTGGAGAGAGTAGCTCCCCTGCAACACCTCCCATCTTCCCTTACCTGTTGTGTGTTCCACTTAGGAAGAAAAGATGCCCAGCACAGGTCCTGGCCACACACTATCCTCTCACTTACGTTGGTGAACAAGTACGGGAGAAAAGCCAGCAGAGGCTCTAACTTGATACAGCAGTGCTCTTGCCACTGGTCCTCTCATGTCCGATCAGCATGTGCCACTGTCATGTGTTGTCAGGAAATTCTGAGCAGCGCAACTAACTGATGCAAAAAAGGCACTCTTTGCATAAAACACTTTAAACACTATTGGCCTCTTCTGAAATATTCAGAAGTGCTATTTCCTAGCCCAGTCTTAGTTTGACTCCTACATGGAGAATGAGGAGGGGGCCTACCTGTGCCTTTCAGGGCACATGCTTTTTTTTTTCTTAACGAATTCTTGAAGCAACAGTTTCAAGTAAGAGTCCCTTGTCATAATATTAGATTTAGTTTCTCAAGCTACTTATAGACATTTTGTTAGAATAGGTATTGACTTCCTAACACAGTATTCTAGTTCTGTCTTAAGACTGATTTACCTATACATGCTCCACTTATTTTAAGATACTAACCAGCAGGCCTTTCTCTCCCGGCGTAACGAACATAGCCACATGTCCAGTGTCTGACTAGCCGAGCTGGCTGCAGAGTTCCCCAACATCACAGGCCGCTAAGGACCGAGTGCCTGTGCCAGAGGCGTGCTGTTGTTAGCTGGGAAGACCAATTCGGACAGCAGGTAACAGCCTGCCGCCTCGTACCTCGGTGCTCGGAAGCACGTCCGTCCCTCCTGCCGCGGCGGAGGGGAGGGGACCGCGTGCAGCCAGCAGCCGTGTGGAACGCACGGGGAATCCTTTCATGGTTGCTCAATTTCCCACTGGCTGGCCCAGAGTGGTTTTCTCACACAGCTCAGCAATTTCTGTACTTTACAAGCAGGGACAGTTCTAGAAACTTTAAGAAAAATTCTGAAAGACCTGTGAGCAAATGGTGCTGAATACTTAAAAGTCACAGTTTCACTGTCTTAGTCAAAGCAGAATTATTAAGTGATTATTTTAAATTCATTTTTTATTAGCAACTTTAAGTATAACAACTTTGAAACTGGAATAAGTGTTTATTTTCTATTAATAAAACGAATTGTTGCAAGAAGTGGACTCTGGCTTCCCCCAGCGTTGTCAGGAGCGTTCAGACACATTACAAGAACGAGTCACACAGCTCAAGCACAGGGCAGGCTCTGCTTTTCAAGATCATCCAAAGCTGTAGTGTCATACTAAAGCTGATCAGGCGAGGACAAAGAAAGGGAAGAAAGCAAACCACGCACAAGGACAGGTGTCTGCTTGATCTGCTGGCTCAGGGCTCAGTGTTTATTTTGCTTCTCCAAAGTTATTAATCTTTAAAAATTTGATTCTGGGGAATTCATGCCACTAGCCTAGAGTGCACTTACGGTGCAGTGTCCATGAACTCCGTGTTTCCCAGTGAGGACTCAGCCAACAGAAGCCAGGATAACATCTACAGGTGTTCTTTCTTGGCTTCGGACCGTCACCTGCATGGTCACTCCATGTGCTAAGGCCAGCCTGGACCGCACCAGCAGAGCCCAGCCACCTCTGAATACCCCTGAAGGACAAAGGAAGTCCACGTTCAGGCAAGACAAGCTCTGGCTCACTGTGCCCCGCCTGTATCAGCTTTAACAGTGACCTGTGGGAATCACATTCTACATCTAAAGATAAAATGTAATTTTTATATTCCCATGAGACCAGACTCAGTAAAGGAACTCAGTATAGTGAGTGTAGCACGCAAAAGCGGGAGGGGCGAGCTGGCCCGTGCAGGACGGACTTAAGTGCTCCAGGCCAGATGGACAACCAAGAGTAAGAGCATGCAAGCAAGTTACTCTAAGCTTTAAACTGCCACTTGTTCATGGGGTGTCTGCCTAGCTGCGACCTGTTCCACTGACATCCTGCAGACAGTAACAGGGAAGTCCAGTGGAACTCTTACCTGCCAGATAGAGCGAATGGGAATTTCTGTTCTCTGGTACTTTATCCGACCGCTCACATGGCTGCATGCCCAGGAATGTGATGATATTGTGGACAGCTTCTGCGTTGGGAAGATTTAGGAGATAGCATTAGACAAGGGCGGAGCCCCTAGCATCAGTCCATGAGCTCAGATGGATGGGGCTGTTGATGCTCTGGGGACTCAATCAGATGAGGAAGAGCAGGCCCTGACCTTCTGATGATTTAGCAACTACTTCAAGGAAGTTCTTCTGGAATGGCAGGTGGTCTCTGAGGTTTTACACGCTAGTGGGCACATACATGGGGGCAGAACTGCCCTCACCTTCAAGGGTCTTGGTGGAACTGAGGACAAAGGTCTCCTCTTTCTCAAACGTATCTCCCACTTCTTCCCAGGCAGCAGCGAAGTTAGGCTGTAGAACCTTCTGGATATGGTCAGACACAGTCACTTCAAGATCTTCTAGCTGGCAGGCGAGAAGCCAGAGTCAAATCAGCGTCCTTGCGGAACAAGGAAAGGCAGAAGGGGCTAACCACGTATTACCATGTGTTAGAATCCTTGTGGGACCGAAGCAAAACTATGCCCTGATGGTAATTATTTCTTTAGTCTGGAAAATCTAATGCTGCAGACTTTAGTAAAGAAAAGCATGAAAATAGAACATGTGGCAGAAGCCAGACAGCGTTGGGCCTGGAGCGCAGAGCAGTCAGGGCCGCGTGACAGCTGAGCTGAGGCTGGCCAGCACCTCACCGGGTGACATTTTAACCGAAGTATCCTCCTCCATTCGGTGGAGGTTTTGCAGTCCTAATTATGTGATAAGCAAACAAGGTTTTGGGGACAAAAATCAAAAGGCCACTTTAAACAAAGCTTATTTCATGTTATTAAAATTGTATGAAAAGTCGTATAATTCATGTACGGTCTTTTCATTTCTTCATTATCCCAGTATAAAGAGAAAAGTGAGCTTGTTTTAATTAATTGCAAAGTGGGAAATCTCAGTTCTCCCTGGTATCCATTACAGAAGAGCTAGGCAGGTCCCCCTCAGTAATCCGAGACTAGAAACTTCATGTCAGATGTGCCTAGGAAAGTGCCCTCGTTCAAGGGAGTGCAGGGAACACTCACCACATACTCATCATCGTACCCATCCTCATCAGGAAGGCCCGTGTTAGGGTCGCAGTCCCGGACCGTAAACTTCATGGTACAGCTGAAGGTGCCTGCAACTGCGGCAGAAGGAGCAGGCAGGCCTGTCAGTACTCAGGAGACAACGCTGACTCAACGCTGGGCTCCACATTGTCAGTTTAAACACACGCATGGCCTCTTTTCCAGAAAAGTACTTTTCAAAAATATTCTGCTAATGGGCCAGAAAAGCAGCCCCAACTAGTATGATTTTAAAGTCTGCTCTGAACTGAGAGTTAGAATAGTGCCAAAAAGGTGTCGTGGGGTATACCCAGTTTTGCACTGGAATAAAGGAAGCAGGGAGGACTTTGCCTTTTGCCCTGCTTGTCAAGGGGCCTATGTGTTGAAAAATAATCGCTGCTCTGGGGCCTGACAAAGGCAAACCCACAAAGCTACCATTGGCCAAGCACATCAGTGTGTCAGCAGTAACACTGCCTTGAAATTGGGGACTGATGGTGAGTCCACAGACCACCAGGATTAGCCTGATTTAAGACAGATTGATAATTAAGTTCCAGTGTTGGCCAAGTCAGCGTCTTCAATGGAAGACCAGCTAGACACATGTTTTGAGATGACCGGGACTGCATGTTTTAGAAAGTAAAGTCTTGAATAAGACAGAATTTTCTGGACTATTTGGAGCTCAGAATTTTAAAGTATGGATAAGTAAAAGGCATTTAGAGTCTAATCTTCCTTGGTCTAGATAAACTTATAAATACAAAAAAGAATTTTGGGAGTTGGAAAGTTATTTTGGGAATAGGCATGGAAAGGAAAATAGATTCTTAGAAAAATCATATGCTAACAAGGGGTCTTTAAAAAACTACGGGAAACATGTATCAAGAACAATCTGGATTTAAAAATCAATTTCACAAAAATATATCTTTTAATTCCATTTTTCATGAAATTTTTGAATTGACTTTGTATATTTCAGACTGGGTAGTAAGTTTTCAAACTGTTTAGTTTCAACCCACTCACCGATCCATCCATCCACCCAAAGCAGTTAGCATCAGCACATGCAGGCATTACATGTCAAGGTGTAAGTTAGCGTGTGAGACACTCAGATAAACAGGTGACTGATACACAAGTTCCTTCTCCAACGCTTGACTGGCAAGGAGCTAAAAAGCATAGGGGGGTGTGTACACCCACACATGCTATCTATTTATGCCATTATAACTCAACCTCATAGATTCTTATAGAGTGCAGTGCTGTGTACGGTTAAACGGTCTGGGAAAACATCTGAGAAGTTGTGAAAGGGTACAGGTCAATTGGTTCTCAAAAGATGCAAAAGAGCTTTGGCAAGCTGAGGAAGCTAGAAGGAAAGAGGACGGAGTTCAGAGGGTGGTTAGTCAGTTACGTTACTGCTTAGCTGGTGATGAGAATGTGTTCAGGAATTAGACGGTAAAATACTCTGTACTTGAAATGACTTTCCAAGAGGGCCCGGTGAGCTGAGGCAGTCAGGACACTGAAAGAATAGAGGTGAGCTACCGAGGGAAAAGCCCAGTTCACACTCTGGTGGGAATACTGTGAAGAACGGAGCAGAATGCAGAAGGCAGAGGAGTTCAGTAGACTATGCTGAAACAGAAGACAGGAGCAGGCGGGCCGGAGAAGGAAGGAGTACCCGTCCAGACTATAGAGTCTATTTCTGAGCAATAACAATTGAACAAATGCTTCAATTACGGCAGGGTTTTCTTTAGGGGAAAGGGGGGGGGGAATACAAAATTAGAATAGGTTGCTGAAGTGTTAAAAAAGTGAAACAGGCCTTGTGACAAAGTTCATGGCCAAGTTGGGTAAAGAATCAGGACAGATAATGAGAAACCGTATGAGCCACAGCCCGGTTCCGATCAAAGGGAAGCTGCAGGCCAACAATGAGGACACTAGATTAAAACTGAGCACACAGTATGTGCGTGAGCACAACGGGTGAAGAGTCACTACTGAATGGTGTTAGCAGGGAGCGTGTTTCTGAAACCTTTCCAGCAAGTTTTTACTTTGGTTAATACAATGTGATTATATAGAAAAGCTCAAGTGAAGTCCAATAAAGCTATTCATGGAGAAAATGACTGACACAAGCTGTTGAGCAGGGGGAGTGGAGGGGACCTTTTTCTTGGGGCAGGAGAACAGCACCCCCTGCATTACCGTAATACAGTGATGTCAGCTTCATGAATGAGGCAATGTAGACAACCAATGGGCAGAAGGAAAGAATGCCTTCCGACTGATATCAGAATCCTTTTTCAGAAAGTAGGCTTGCCATGTGAGGACTGACAGTCAAGCTACTGAAGAGATTGTTTAAAATTTATTTTTTATGTATCTGAGATAGGAGGAGGAAGGGGAGAGAGAAAGAAGGACATTCTTTTCTTCTCCCACCCACTAGTTCACCCCTGAAATGGCCGCAATGGCCAAGGCCGGGCCAGGCTGAAGCCAGGAGCCTAGAGCTTCTTCGGGGTGTCCTGTGTGAGTGCAGGGCTCCAGGTACCTGGGCCACCTTCTGTTCTTTCCAAGCACATTAGGAAGGAGCTGCATCAGAAGTGGAGCAGCTGGGACTTGAACCAGTACCCATATGAGATGCTGGCATTACAGGTGGAGGCTTAGCATGCTACACTATAATGCTGGCCCCTAAGAAGTTTTTTTTTTAATGAAAATTTTAAAATTAAATAAAAGGTAGATGCTGGAAGCTAAGTAAGGAGAAAGAACTTGGCTGAAATATAGAACATGTGGTGTGACAAATGGCAGGGTGGGGAATTTGGCGGAAGCTGTCAGATCTCAACCACTGGAGGGGAGACATCATGACCAATCAGGAAATGGGATTTTGAAGATTCCACATAATTTTGTCAAAATACTGATTAAAGACAAAGGGGTGTCAGCAGGGCAAAGGATGAAAACGTGAAAGGGAAAGACCTGGAGCCGGCCAACGGCAGCAGGTCACGAAGGTCTGGCCTGAAAGGAGAAGGAAGAGATGCAGTATAGTTTGTAGGAAAAAGCAAGGAAAGCGACAGTGAGTTAAGCAGTGAGTTCCCCAAATGAGGCAGGTATAGCTACCCAGAAAACTATGGGAATCCATGGGCATGCTATACAAAGCAAAGGAGGTGCGCTGACGGCCAGGCTTTTCTCTAGGACAAGTAGTACAGGAAGGTATGATGGCATTCCTGGGCCAAAAGCCACGAGGTTGGAATAAGTAAGACATTGGAAAAATGAAGCATATTGTATGGTAGGAGGTTTACACGCAGAGCAGAATGGGGAATCTTGTCTGAGGTCAGAGTAGATGGGATTGAGTGAAAGGTTCTGGGAAACAGAGGCTGTGGAGTGAGAGTCTGAGGAAGGGCACCGCTGGAGGACCTGGGTGATAAGGAGGCTTGCTTGGGGGGGAGCATCAGCACGTACTGCAGCTGCAGAGCCAGTAAGAAGGATGAGGAGGTAAGTATCTATGTGCATTATTTCAGTGGAGGATCAATAATAATGATAAACATTAACAACAAGTGAGATAGTGTATAAGGGTTTAGGCTTGGGTGTAGAATCTAAAATGTGGATAGGGAAGGGCAATAAGGAGGACCAGAATTAGGAACCCTGAAAAATGGTTGCTCTGCATATTTAGTAGAGAGACCTGAGTTAAGATAGATAATAACCAAAGACAGAAAGAAAGACAAGAGAAAGTGGCTACATAAGCATTGGTACGAGGAGGGCATGCCATGTGAAATCTTTGCTTGGGTGATATTTATAGTCACAAATGTCACCAACAGAGTCAAAGTTAAGAAGTCAAAATTGGACAGATCTGAACCATGGCCGACAGGAACCTGCAGGTCTGGACTCAACTGAGAGTCAATGTAGAGGGGGTAGTGTGATCGGCAGAAGGAAAGAGAGACTTCCAATCCTGTGAGAATGCCATACAGCTGCCGATGAGAGACAGTGTAGCCAGCTGGTTTCTCCAGAGACTGGCAGAGAGTGACAGATGGTGGCACCAGAGGGCATGATTAAGAGACTGGAGTCTTGTGTGAAGAGGACCTGCTGGGAGTGAGAGAAGGAACACAGGGACAGGAGGCAGCACAGGATGGCCAGGCACTGCATCAGGACAGGGGAACAAGGCCAGCGTGCAGGTCACCTGGTACAGGAAAGCACAGGTGGAAGGGCAGTAGAGAGGGCCAAATGGGAACAACGGGAAATAGGAGTTTGGAGTTTGTCAGTCATCTATTAATAAGAGGGAGATGGAGCAGAGTAAGAATTGGGGTGTGTGGCTATGTAATCCTGGAAGCTTTCTTGGAAAAATAATGAGTGAGATCAATACTGTGAGATGTGAGAAAGAGGCTAGTTGCTAAGGGCATAATTTGCAGGCCATTGGCAAGAATCTTAGGAAAGCTTGAAGATACCAGGGTGTGCACTGAGGAATAAAAGACACAAGGAATGACAGTCGGTTGAACAGCAAGTGTCCAACACAAGGGAAGTACCCAGAATGGATATGTGATCTATTAGAATGATACTTCATGGCAGCTGAAAGGGGGAGGAATGAAAGATAAGGCAATTTGATTTTCTAGGTAATATGGAATAAGGAGGAAAGAAGGAAAATAAAATGAAGGTTTCCAATTGAAGAAAAAGAGTGATCTGAAGAATGGCAGGTACAGACTGGTGGTCAAATCTGCGTTAGGATGGGACAGGAAGCAAGAATAAGCTGAATAAAGAACTACTGGGTGAGACAGAGCAGGTGAGCTCCATAGACGAAAAATCTAGAACAGAGAAACGAGTGTCATCTCCTAACAGGTCCAGCTGATGAAGGCCCAATGGTAATGAATGGTGTCTCAAAGTTTCCAGGACGTGGAGAGCAGTGGCAGTTGAGAGTAGACCAGCTCTTCATGCTAGTTAAAAAATTAAAAGTAGACTAGTTCTCCAAATACTGATGGGTGAATTAAATACACATAGATGTATTTAAGTCTTTGAAGATACTATTACATATCACAGAGATACAAATGTTCATTAAAGCTTTGAGCATAAACGAGATTCATGAGCTCATCTCTCGGAAGGGAGGGGTCAGCTATTCTGAAGAGGGTGACGAGGAAGTCAGCCGCAG